GATGCAGCAGCGTCAGATTCTAACGCAAAATACGGCTACCAAACCGATTGCAAACATGTATCGTGAATGAAAATTGCAAAGAACTTTAAAGAGAAAGTTCAAGTGGGCGTGAAACCGGTGAAATGGAAGCGGATAGCGCTAACAAAACTTATCGGTAATCAATCGATTAAATTTAGCGGTCTTACTGTTCTGTATCTCTGGCGGTCAAACACATGGAGAGCACTGCGGTGAATTTACTGTTGGATTAAATTGGTGTAATTGCCGGTGGTATGCGTCAAAAATTTCGCTGTTGCATTCTAAGACATTTGTAGATGTAGTGGACTCTCAGTCCTGGGCTAATACGATGGGCTTACATGGAACTGCAATCGTAAACAGACTGTGGATGAAGCAACACGAGACAAATTTGGGTTCTATCCAGAAGTTTTATCATCCCAGGAGAAATTGCGTCTGGTTACGCTGTGATTAAACGAATCCGCGAACAAATATCCAGTATTTTGTTTGTTAACTAATAGCAAACTGTACATAAAGCATGGTTAACAGTGATAAAGTCGTTTGTGGGAAGGCGCATTTCACGTTTTTTCCAAGAATTGCGACAATCACGAAGAACGTACGTGAACTGCAAACCAAAACTTCCCCGATTTTCACTCTCTATGATAAGAGAAAAGGAAATGAGTCCACTCACATACATTGGCGTAAATGTCAAAGTCTTGACTTGGCAACTGTTCGCGGGCTTAAATGGTTAGTCCAAACCTCTAGTATGAAACTCCGTCACACATTTTGACTCATTCTGATGGCAATTTTGCGCTGACTTACCTCATATTTTAAAGAAGCAAGACGTCTTCAAAATGGGCCCAAGCTTTTTTCAGAACACAGAATTATTAACAGAATTGCAACTGATACTGTAAATTCTTACTACTCAGCAAACTCTCGTGTGCCTTCCTCTCAAACACAGTAAAGTACTGAAAGTATTTTGACTTAAAGGATCCGGGGAGAAAAACATATTGCTGATATCCATCCAGAAAACCAAAACAGGAGCAGCTGATTAGTGGAAAAAGAAGCAAGGCTCTGTGAAAATCGTTTTTAAGCAAACATGCCCTAAACAGAATGATTAAAACATGTAATTTATCAAAAAAAAACCCTGTACAAAACGACTCTTAAAGCACTTCCTGTTGCGGCTCCTGCTTCACATCCAAAAAAGCTATGGAGAAATACATAACATTTAACAGCCTAAACAAATGCCCTAACGCTTAAATGATAATCTCGAAATTCTGGAGCTCCTCATCGGACGGCAGAACAATTTTATCGGGTCGAACTAGATCTTTACTGATATAAGGCAAGCCAGCCTTTTCTCGCCGAGCCATTTCCAGATGTGCTTCCCGGTATGCCCAATCTCTCGCCAGCGGCCTGAAAAATATGGATAAACGTCATCCAACCAATGTAGTACTCAAAAACGAGTCCCAAATTCGGAAATCCTTTTCTAACATTCGATAACTGCGAAACAAACAAAGCGCAGTGTATGATTTCAAGCAACGCAAAAGTAATCGTTACAATCACAAATTAAAAACCTTTCCATGTTTACGTGGCAAGTGTAAGCAGATGAAAAAAAGCCCAAAATGCTAAAACTCTGCCAACAGCAATCGCCTTTCAGCATGAGAAATCTCGCCAGAAAAGTAACTGCGATGCGCGTAAATTTCGTAGCCGAAGAAAAAAAATCCCAAAAACGAAATCCCAAAAACGACAATCCCAAAAACGACATTCAAAAACGTAAGCTTGAAAATCAGCCAGAAAATCATTAATTCACAAAAAAAAAGCATTTTAAATGTAATAAAGCATACCAGTCCGGTGCACCATATTGTAAATACAATGTGACCCAAGTAACCATGAGCGTCAGCAGGACAAACATATATTTATGGAATTTCAACCAATCAGCGTGTTCATCGTATGGCGATAAGCCAAACCAAATCCAATTGCGACGCTATAAAAAGAAAAAACAGGTCGCACAGTCGAAGAGAGACGAAGTATGAGTTCTGCAGTGTCGATTTCTGGTACAGAAAAAATTTCCAAATCATAGTACTAAAGGGGAAGAGGGCTTGAAAATACTACAATGCTCAATTTGAAGGAAAGCCAGCTAGGTGGCTTCATTTCGGAGGAGGGCCGAATGATCTGTGACTTGCCCTCTCAGCGAAACATTCTTTTTTGCCATAATTCCTGTCCCTGTTGCAGAAGTTCTGGTGGGGGGAGGGAGGAGGGGG